ATTTTACTGGCTTCAGAAGGATGGAAAGCTGAGTCAACCTTCATCCAGTGAGAACTGCTGGCAGCCGGCAGTCAGCAGAGTTAGCCTGCAATACTGCATTGTAACCACTGTGCCACCACGGCTCTTCAAACAATGCTGACTCCCTTGGCCAAGAAGTGGAGATGAGCACAGTGTCCTAGATTTGGACATGACTGGACAGGGAAACCTTTCCCCAGAGGTAGTATTCAGCCAGTTCTCTCCAGTTCAGGCAAACCGGTAGCAGCAGCTGCAGGAGGCTCCACCCACCCGCCCCGACATAATGTGCGACCTTCTGCACATGTGCACACTCGCATTTGCGAACCAGTAGGGAAGGTAAGTGAATCCCACCGCTTTCTTTCCCTTTCCTTTCTAAAAATCCAACACCTAGAAAACCAGGATTCTCAAACTTTGCATTGCCATAATGACTCTCTAAGCTTTCCATTAGGACTGGCCTTTCTCATCACCCTGATAGCACAAATCCCAGAACCTGCTCAAGATTATTCAGTTGAGCTTAAGTTAGACAGAAACCCGTGAGAAATGCAAGAGTTTGGGAATGTAGGAGACATAAAAATATCCCCACCACCACCTAAAGAAATCCCCTTAAATTGGATAGCACTTCCTGATAATAAAAGGTTAGAAAATTTGATCCTGGTTGTCATCTGGAGACCTCAAGAGAAATATCCTGATACCCCTTTTGAGTTGGAATAGTGAGAACTCTGTTCTCTGCTACTTCTTATTGTAGACAGGCCTCTTTCGGGCTTTTGAAAGAAGAGGTGCTGTTGATTTTAAAAGTGTATTAACTTTAATGATTGGGTCCCTTTCAGAAGCAGCATCTGTTTTTTCAGGCTCACTCAAATTACTGATGCTGTAGGACCGTGATGGTGAACCTATAACATGCGTGCTGAAAGTAACACGCAAAGCCATGTCATCCCGCATGCACGGCCTTGCCTGTTTGTCTTCCAAGCTTGTGGTGTGCATGCACATGCAACAATCAGTTGTCCTTCACACGTGTGGCAGTGCCAAAAACTGGTGTGCACATGTGCACCAGCCAGCTGATTGTTGGGTGCGCATGTGCACCAGAATCTGGACATTTGGCTTTTCCAGAGCATGATCCCTTTGTGCGCACAGCAGTGCTTGAAAACCAGCCTGCACATGTGCGCTGGCCAGCTGATCATCGGGCGCGTGTGCATGCTAGAACCCGGAGCGTGGCTGTGATGAGCGCACACAATGTTTCTGTGTGACCTTATTGGCACTCGGTGCCAAAAATGTTCCCCATCACTGCTGTAGGATCTGAAATATGCCTGTTTTTTCACTGACATTGGACTTAGTTCTTTAAGGAGTAAGCATTACAGAAAGAAATTGGCCTTGGGACAAATTGTACTGATACTCAGGTAAGTGGAGCTCCATTTGAATTCAATCACAGATGAAGGGCTGGGTCTGAAAGCAAGTTTTGTCTCCTTCCGTTCTCTGGGTCAAATTCTTTGCCCACTGACCACATAGTGACTGTTTCAGCATTGCTGCCTAGGAACTCTAGTTGCACAGAAAGGCAGCATAATCTGTAGTTCTGTAGTATTTCTCTGGTTTGCCAAGTACTTGCAGAAGCCTGGCCTTTGGGGGGAAATCCTGTGACCAGAAATCTTGTGGCCATCATTAATTCTACACAACACAATCCTACATATCTACCAAATTTTGATCAAAAGATAATATGTGTTCATTTATCCTAACCACAATCCAAGTGTTCAGCAGACAATAGAATCCTCTCTTAATGTTTTCCCCCAAGCACCTGGCTTTCTCTCCCCCCCCCCTCCTGATGACATCATCTTGGTGATGGTTTACAGAAAAAGAAGAATTTATTGATAAACTTGGCACCTTGATTCTCTCTGCTGTCTCTTTCTTTCTAAATACAGACCTCTGGGGGATTATAGGGAGGAGGAACCTTTGAGGTAAGCAGTCTGTGGGAAAGGGAAGGGAAGTGTCGGGCACATCTTTAAATCTCAATGGACTTCTGGAGCAATGGAAAAAACTCAGATATATAAAATAGGCATATAAAAAACACAAGAGCAGTGCAAAGTGATACCTGTACACAAGCTGTATTCACAAGATGCGGTAGCTTAAAATGAAGCTTGTGGCTTACTCTATTGTGAGAACAGAGCCAGTAAGTTTACAGGTTGTGCACATTTAGAAAATGTGCACAGGTTAGAGTCATACTGTAAATAAAAATGTTGCATGAACACAGAGCACTATGTTAACTGGGGACTTCCCAGAATAAATTAATTCTATCTTAATTTTTGTTCTTGATATAGTTATTTCTGATTTTTTCCCCTTTTTATTATTAAAGAATATAAAGAATGTTTTACTAACTGCCAAGAAAGGGTATCTATTCAACGAACAGCAAGGCTGTACTCTGTAGAGAGTGAATATTTCAGAAAATAAGCATCAAGGATCAACGGGAGCTTGTACAGAGCAGCCTCCCTGACCCAGTTCCACATTTCCACTTGAAATGTTCTTCTTCCTTCTCACAGTATTTGTTTCAGAAGTCAAGGAAGCAAACAAAATCTCAGCTGGCACTTCGGGGCTTTGTAAGCGCTCGAGACTGATAGAAAAATTTAACTACCAGGTTTGCAGGTCTCAGATCCGTTTGGGGCCTTGACCTTTTTCTTGAGAAGTCTTTGTGCATCAAGTGATGCTCAGTTACAATTTGTTCAATAAATCATTTTTAGTAGTCTGAATTCATAGCACACTCAAAGCCCAAGGCCTGATGTCTTTTTCTATCTCTGTCCATTATTTCATTCTCAACAAAGTGTCTGATGCATTAATATCAAACCAAAAGAGTTTGATGTTGCTCTGGGCCTTCCCTTACATTGATTTTTTCCACAATCTGGCTTCATGGATCCTGAGATCCCATAGTTTTAATCTTGTTTTGCGGCATAGGATATAGCTGATTGTCCCACATATTATGTTGTTGGGGGAAATGTCCTTCTGGGTTCGGCTCCAAGTGGGGAAAAAGACACTGTAGACATGGAGGCTGTTTGGAAAGATGGCTTAATGATGGACAGAACCACATGGCTTGAGTCCTGAACAGAAAAGGGGGAAATCACATGCTTCCAGATGTTGGGTGGAGAAGAAGAGGGTGGGCTGAAGGTTCCTACCTATATACTCTCTGTTCGGCCCCGCCTCTCTGTTTCCTGTTCCTGTTTAAGAAATGTATTCTGATTGGTTGTCAGACTCCCATGGGGCCATGCAGGGGCAACTCTCTGGGCTTTGTTTTGAACCCAGGTTTGAGTTTCCAGATGCCATGTGGTGAGATGGGTAAAAATAATACTATCATGCCTTAATCCCATCACTCTGGAGCTGAAGGGGAGAACTCTTTATTATGTAGAATAGACTGGCTTGGGTATTTTAATGGCCTATTAAGGAAAGTGGGGGCTATTAAGAATGAGTCTGTTTCCTGTCTAAAAACATGTTTCTCCATTTCTGATCCAGGGAAATA